GCCCCGGTTGATAGCTCCTTTGGTATAACATGATTCTTGATAAATTCACTCAAAATGTTCGCTCGAAATTGATCTCTCATAGGGCTTCCAGACCGACCCGTTCCGAAAACGCTTAACTTCCTTTAGTGTTGGTCTACCTCGAACGGCATGTTCGTTTGTATGTGATTTCATCGCCCTAGAAACCATGGAACCATGCTAACTTTTCACGTCGACAACTTCTGTAAATTCCATGTGCTGTAATCATGCACAGGTGACGCATGCGCCTTAGAGACCAGACGGCGATTTGTGACTGAACGTGGAAAAAAAAAGCCAGGCCTCACTGCCTGGGTAATTAAGTCATCATTAGCTAACTTCTGGGGTCTAATAACCTCGTTTCTTGCTCTTGAAATCAAATACTTTCCTCGATAAAAATTCAATCTGAAACTATGGCAAAAAACTGCTATCAGTGTTCAGTATGGCAATTATTCGAACGCCCCACAACATTTAGCCTTGGTCGCTGTTCTTCACTAGCGAAGTCTGAAACAATTAGCTTTGAATTGCAGCATACTGTCAATCACGAGAGGCAGAACTTTTAGATCACATCAGAAATAAGACGAAATGAGAAAACGCAGAGAGAAACGAAAGAGAAATGTGAAAACGCAGCTTTATTTCTACTTTTAGGCCTACCGTCCACACTTATCCGTCACGAAAACGGAGCATTTTGAAAACGCTCTTCAAACTGGGGAAATTCATAAACGCTGGCTTTTCGTTTTCGTGTGGACGGAAAACAAGTTTTGAGAACGGAACTTTTCGAAACGATGACATCATTTTCATAGGCGAGGACCTCATTCCATAATAAGATGCAAGTATGCGTTTTAATTAATTGCTTCTTTAATATTACATACATGACTCAATCTTTTGATCAGTTCTTAACAATAATTTCTTTTTTAAAACCCTCATTACAAACTTGCAAAAATTAAAACAGGTAGATCTCAAATTATCAATCAATCATATTGAAACATAGTCTAATCTCTTAAACCTTCTGAAATTATCGTTCACTGTCACTGTAAATCGCTAGTTGAAATCGTTATGTAATGTTACGAGAAGTTCACCTTTTACATATACACTGAGCTCCTTCCACAATGGTGGAAAAAATATACAGGGTCTAAGTTGACAAACTTTCAACTGGGAAATATCAACTTCTTAAGAAATACCAAATAACAAACTCTGCTCGCTCAAAAAATTCCTCACTCTACAAAATTGAGTACATTGCTGATTGTTTGCTAATTTATATCTGATCTTAAAGTTCCCTACACATTTATCCCTATCAGCTAATTCTTATTCTCAAACTCATCAGGTTTAAACAAAGGAAATCATGACCGTGACGGTGCTTGGATATCTGATCGTAATTACCATAGATTTTTTTACGATTTTATTTCTCCGTTTTCTCCTTCGTTTTTATTTCGACTTAAAAGATATATCAAGCACTCAAGGCAGTGTTTGACCAGATTTCTTAACACCTCTAAGTTCGTCAAAATTACTTCGCTGCGCGTCGAATTTTCAACTCTCTTCAGGGTGTTAGAAGATGTGGTCAAACAAGGCCCAGTGCATGTTATATCAATGCCGAAGGGCTACAGGTGTTCAAGCAATTTCATTTACATACACGTTTACTTTGAAACTCGGTTCTACTCTAGTCAACAGTGGTAAAACAACAGTCTATTATGTCACTATGCTAATTAAAAACAATTCTTAGATACGGTATTGTGATATCCGAAACAGTTGATAATTGAAAGTCGAAATAGCCCGTGTTATCAGCCTCAGCGATTTGGTCATTAACACTTTCCTCTTTCTTGAATATCACAGAGTTAACAGAACATCGTTCGACAATTCCTCAAAATTTTAGTGTGCACTACAAGGACTGTTTTTTTGATATGGTTGAATTTAACGTAGGGTATTTCGTCTTGTTTCGTATTCCACAGTCACAAGAAGATCTTGATACCATAATTTATCAATTCAAATATAACCGACCATCTCATAGTCTTCGTTGGATTACGAGAATCACTCGAAGACCTGAATACGACGATTGTCAGTGTCAGATACAACTATCCGACCATCGCTAAGAACTGCTATACCGCTTGGAGTGTCAAACTCTCCTAACTCGCTGCCTTCGGTCCCAAACTTTGCAACAAACTCTCCATTGAGTTTGAACACCTGGATTCTGTGATTACCTGTATCACAGACCATTAGGTGTCCTGCCTTGTCAACTGCTAAAAAAGAGGGTTCATCGAACTGCCCGTAGGCATCCCCAACACTTGTAAACTTGCACAGAAAAATTCCCTGTTCCCTGTTAAAAACTTTTACGCAGTGGTCTTCTAAATCTGATACGATTAGATACTGCTTACACGAAACAGAGGAAAAGGGACCCTTGAAAATGTCGTTTTGGCCAATTTTTTGCAAAATTTGTTTTTTAGTCGAAAACACCTTAACTACTTTGTTACCTGAATCAACAACAATTATGTTTCCGTCG